CCTCTCGGCAACACAGACTCAAGGGCGCGGGATTTCTCAGCCAGAAATCCCGTCCCATCCCGCCTTCCACCTCGGGGACTCGTCCACACGTCTCCGGGTCCCTCCAGCGGTCCAGCCTCCTCCGCCCAGGAGGCTGCTGCCTGAGCGGCACTTTCTTGAACTTATGTCACACCTTTGCTTCTCTTGTCCTTACTCAGGTATCTTCCTAGGCCAATGGTAGTTTTTCTACTACACTGTGGCCTTGAAAACGCGGTTCATCATTCCTCTGTGAAGCTCGCACGAGTCCCACCAAAGAACCGTTTATTCCTCTTTAATCCCAGAGCGTTGGCCAGTACTGTGTGAACTTCTCTGAGGCCTCCTACTCCTTAAGAGTGAGTCTCGGTTACTGTTACGCGTGTGTGTGATCAGCTCATTAGAGTATAAGCCTTAGAGAGCAAGCGTCAACATTCAACTTCCAATACTTCCGTTACCTGCCACAGTAATTTATGCGAATTAACATGTGAATATGTAGGGAAAGAACAAATGCGCAAAGAAAAAGATACACAGAAGGATTCAAAAATGCTGATTATCATATTTGTTTTTGTCCAACATTGACTGTGTCAAAAAGGGTATATAATCTCAGGGAAAAAAAGAGCTAAAAAATTACCAACTTTATGAATAACTTATTAATTTCTTTATTTTGAGGCAAGATCTAGCTGTGTAGCCCAGGCTGGCCTCCAACTTTCATCGATCCTCCTGCCTCAGCCTCCTAAGTGCTGTGATTATAGGTGGGTACCACCATGCCCAGCTTACTAGTAATTTATTTGATACTTGCACCTTAAGATAATTTGCTGGGTAAATTTTCTGCAGTCACCTGAGAAAGTGAAATGTTGGCTCTGCCTCCTGCACTGCCCTCTCCCTGGCCCCTCAGCCACCTGTGAGTCTCTGCAGCTCTCTTGAAGGCGTTTTCTCCAGTAAGATTCTTTGATCTTGACTGCAAACAGTATTTTACTGTGATGTACTGCTAAACTGTCTGGAAAGCACAGGGCTTTGATGTCCAGCACGTATCAGTTTATGTGATACAAATCTCCATTCATGCACTTGGGAGGGGGCTTGTTTAACAAGCAGCTCGGTCCTTGGGGGTGGGTGGAGCCTCCAGTTTTCATTCGATGTGTGGCACCCCACTCCCAGGGCCATTCTGGAGCGCCAGCTTCCCCGTGCAAGTGTCAGCTGAGATGTGCGGTGTTCAGCACAGCCCACAGGACCCTTGGCCTGGCACTGTGCTTGTTTCTGTCCTGGGGTCACCCCGGCATCAGTCCAAGCGTGGCTGGGTCTGACCACATCCACAGCGACCGCCCACGGCCTGAGAGGAGCTCCCAGAACAGCGCAGAAGCCTGGTCCCAGCCCCAGCCCCAGCCACAAGCTCTAGCTTGACCACAGGCGGCCCTCCTCATCCCCCAGCGCAGCTTGCGAACCCTTCCTCCTGCTCCTCACGCCTGCCGCATAGCCCTCGCCCTGCGGGTGCACCTTCCTGTGTATCTGGGCAGCTGCCCAGCAGGTGGAAAGGACGCATCTTCCCAAGTTTGGCTCCAGCATCAAAGGCTGCGTCTTCTCTGTGGCGTGCACGCCTCTCCTCGTACATCAGAACAGAGCCCGTCTGCGGTGCTCCCTCCGCAGGGAGCACACCCTTCCCCTCCTCCTAGCAGCCATGCAGCCCATCCTTGCAACCCCTCCCTTTCCTAGCAGCCTGGAAATATGTTCAAATTTGTCTCACTCAATAATGAAAGATTCCTACCCAGTTAGGGAGCAAAGGCAAATTCTCTTTATACAGCAAAACCTTGCTCTTGCTCATTCTTGCTTTCTCTTTTCTAGTTCAAGTTCCCTCAAAGAATAGTCTTATTTTTTGGCCCACTTTCACTTTTTACAGGTTATTCTTATAAAATTAGTACTTCTTTTTGTTTTTTGAGACAGGGTCTTGCTATGTAGTTCAGGCTGGCCTTGAACTCTCTACATAGCGCAGGCCAGCCTTGCAGTGAACTTGCAGTGATCCTCCTGCCTCAGCTTCTGAAGTACTGGGATTACAGGTGTGCACTACCATACTTGGCTAGTACAAATTTAATATCAAAAAAGGTTAAATTTTATTATAAAGTCAAATACAAAAATGTACTGGAAAAGCTGGGTGTGGTGGTGCACGCCTGTAATCCCAGCACTCAGGAGGCTGAGGGAGGAGGATCGTTGTGAGTTCGAGGCCAGCCTGGGTTACAAAGTGAGCTCAAGGCCAGCCTGAACTACATAGTGACACCCTGCCTTTAAAAGATGAAAAAGAAATGTACTGGTAAAATATCAGCTTTAATTCTTAATTCTAGCAGTGGCTGCAACACTGCATGTTACCACGTTTCCTTCTAGGATTTCTTCCTATACCTGTGCATGCATGCACATGTGTGTGTTTGTGTGCGTCTGTGTGTACAGGGTTTATATTGTGTTTGTATGTATATCCAGAGCTGGAGTGAGATTCTAGAATTGTATTGCTTTCTTTTCCGTTCATCATTCTATTATAGGCATACATGAACTCTCCTTTACCACCTGGCTTTGTAACAATTTCATTCTATTTTACTGAACAAAAGAACCTTAGTTCATTCAAGTGTCCACATCTGCCACTCATGAAATCAGGGTTCCACTCAGTGCTGCACTGGGCAGTGAAGGCCCTACTGGGACCCTTTCTTTCCCATCCTGTTTGAACTCTGTCCGGACAGTTGGCCTATGTTATCCCTTTCCTGACATTGTGCACCTTAGCTTTTCTTAAGCTTTGTTGGAGAATCATCTTCGGTGGAGCAGCTTTCTCCACTGGTGCGCATGTACTTTAGGGTCATGCCACATCTGGTCCAGACCTCTGAAAATGACATGGAAGGGACTGTATAGCCCGAGGGATGGTATCAGTTTCAATAGTTAAGTAATAACCTGGGCCTCCAAGGTGGAGGAGGCAGGTGTTATACTCAATGCATTTGGCTAAGCAAACAGCTTTACCAGCGAAAGTTAGGAGACCGTGCAAACTCCTGCCAAATCATCTACTTAGCAAGGTGAACTTGGAAGAAATGTTTCTTTTGCTGACCCTGTGCCACAAGGAGTTATTTGATTTACAAAGTGAATTTATGACAACCATATTGCCACTGAAACCTGAAATGCACCAAAATCAATCTGCTGTCTCCTCTCTCAGTCAGGGTGAAGTCAAGGAGCTTGCTATCACACTTTCCCCAGTGGCTTTGATGGTGATATTAATCATGTAGCCATGATTTCTTTCTCAGAGGTAGAAAGGGACCGGGGAGCCCCATGGCTGGCTTATTCTCCACAGTGTACAGGGTAGAATGTCAGAATCAAAACCATCTAACACAGAATGCTTTGTGTCATAGGCAGACTTGCAAGACAAGGTTCTAAGAACAAAACTGGTCTGGTCTTTGGTCCTAACAGTATTTTACGGAATGGTTAGGGCATATTCTTTGCTCCCTGGTCAGACCAGAGGGATCTGTCTCACAAGACTTGCTGGCTGTGGCCTGGGCATGCTGTAAGCAGAGCAGGAGGCACATAGCCTCACACGTCACATAACTTCAGGACTTCCACACGTTGGTTTCCCAAGTTTTAATCTCCCTTGATCTTCATCCTAAGCTTCATAAACTTATAGAGTGAAAATTATCATCAGGGAACAGATGAGAAACAGGTTTGGATGACTGAATTGTCACTAAGTTACACTAGAAACGTAGGCTCCGGAGGAGCCCAAGTTGCTCTGTTAGGAGGGTTCCTTCTGATCTGTTGGGGAGCAGTGATGCCTTTTTCATCATTCTTTCCTGTTCAGCTCACACACGTTCTCTCTTACGTGAGCAGCACTAAACACACCAGCACACTTTTCCCTAACTAGGTTTCCATCTTTCCCTTGGTGTGCTTAGCCATTCTATTGTAGGTCACACACTCCGCTGTCAATAATAAAATCTACGCAGTAAACTAATCTGGAGGTGCAGTGGGGAGAGTGGTCATGGTGTCCTGGAACCCACATTCCTACAACAGATCTTACTTTCCTCCATGAAATTAGAAAGAGAGAATATGAAACTCACAGAGTTACTAACAGCATTGCTGCCCTAGCCGGAGACTGGGGGTCATCCCAGTTGCCTCTGTCCTTTCAAGTGCTCGTCCCCAGTGACACAGAGCTGTTGGGCCGCTGACTTTGTGTCCTGAAAATTTCAGTAACCTGCACTTCTTCTCCATCCCCATCGCTCTTATGGTTTCACTGGGATCATTCTTCATTTATGTCCTATTAACAGTGTTTTCAATTTTAGTTTTTATTGCACTTGTAGAGAATGAGTTTCAGTGATAGATGCAAGAGATAAAGCTTCAAGACTTCTTGGGAGTGAATGTGTTCCCGATGCCTTTGAATGCTTCAGCTAAGCAGCCTTAGTTAGGTACAGGTCTTAGGCTTCTTATGTACCAGCTATGCTGTTATCCATCAGTACCAGAGGAAACCAGTACTAGTACCAATGAGAAGGCAAATGGAGCCCAAGGGTCTCCCAAGGGGCAGCCAGCCCCATAGGTACCAGGGTACTGGGTCTGAAATGATGGATCCTTGCTCATCCCCTTGGAGAATTTCCCATAAATCCCAGTATGCTCTTACAAACCGTGTTGTCTCCGTCAGAAAAGGTCACTCTAGATATGGAGATTAAATCTAATGAAGATTTCTGTTGACCCTCAAAGTTATTTTGCTGGAAGTATTTCAAATGCACTTTGACCTGCAGTTCATTATTGTGAGAGATGTTTCCTGAGATGTGTCTCCTCCAAGGTAATTGCAGAATGTCTGGAGTCCAAATCTCCTTGAAAATGTAAGTTCCATGAACTACTAGGAAGTGTACAGTTCAAAATATTACATGGGTCTGGGCTATCGCTTGAGAGGTAGAACACCTGCTTAGCCTGTATGAAGCTTTGCTTTGATTCACTAGCACAGGAAAACAAGGACAATAAAAAATAAAGTTTATACTTACACCAAAGTTGGTTGCGGCAAATCGATCAGAAGCGGACACTTGCACATTTGTGGACACAGTCGTGTGTGCGTAGAAGGCGTTTATGTTGGCCAGCAAGGTGCTCATAACGGCAGGCACGCCGGCGCACATGTACTTGGAGGACAGGCATGAAAAGTGCCTGCAAGACAGGAACATCAGGGCTTTTAAGAGAGAAAGTGATGGACTCACCTGTCAGTACCTGGTAGCAGGTTAGTCATCCCTCACCTGCATGCCCCAAAAGGGGAGGAAACTCCCTCGATCTCCAGTTAAGGAAGAAAACAGTTCCAGCCTTGTGAACATTTCTCATTCACAAGTGAGACCCAGCTTGAGTCACTCGCTCAGGCCGCGGGGAAATCAGTTCCTCTGTGAGGGCTGGGGCTCCGGGCCTGCACGGAGGGAGCCACTTCCAGGGAGCTGGAGCACTATGAGAAGGGACACGGCCGCGAAGTCCCCCTGCCCCTCACTCATCCAGCTCCCAAACTGCTGGGTTTGTATTCTGCTCTGGCTGAAGTAGCCGGGGACCTCCTGTCACACGCACTGAGCTCGCAACTTCCCTTTTGACTGGAGCTGGGTGTGAGAGCTCTCCTCAGAAAAGAAGTGCTTGTGCAAGCAACTTTTCCACAGAGCACTTTGCTACACATCGGATTTAATTAGACAAACCGGGGTATCAAGGACAGATTCCATTACGCTTTAAGACCATTTCTTTTAAACCTCGAAGAATGCTATCATCTGTAACCATCACAAGCACTGGCCCGTTCCATTCCTTCACTTTTAAGCAAACCAGTTTCATTTGTACAATAACAAAAGATAACAAAGGATTTGGAAATTGAAAGCCAGGCTTACAATAAGAGTGGAAGATAAAACCTGCAAGGAGGAAAGGACTGTCTGGTATTAAATCTGTTCTTGTTTTGCTCCCAGGTCCTCATACTTCACCTTCCCCTTGGGGACTTGTTCATTTTGCATCATCAAACACCAGTGTGGGGTGCACAGATGTGAACAAATGCCCTGAATGTCACCCCCAAAAGAAGGTCGCTCGGATTTTCATGATTTCAGCTGGTGAAGAAGTAGGTTCAGTCTCTAAAGCAAGGGTCTCTGAGAGTTGAAAGTTAACACTTCATGCCATGAGCACCCACGGCTTAGGCAATTTAGCCTCGGAATCAGACTATGTGATGACTGCCTCTTTAAGGTAAATAAAGCACATTTTGACTTCATTACATGTTACAAGTATTATAATTGATTAATATCCATTAAGAATGCCACAGATGTTATGTGGTTATTTTAAAAAGAAACTTAAAACCTCTAGAGCTATGCCATCACATTTCTAATTTTTTATCCATCCTTGTGTAGTTGGGTTTGTCAGAGACTCCAGTCACGCCTCTGTGACAGGGAAGGCCCGAACAGCAGGGTGTGGGAGACGGCAAGAAGAAAGCCTGCAGCCGAGGAGAGAGAGGCACAGTAACATCGGGGGCGGCTGTGACTGCTGATGCTTGCAGGCTGGGCGTTCGTCATCCTGGACCACCCTGTCCGCGGACCACACTGTGCATGGGAAGCGACACCGTGGTCTTCACCCTGAGTCACTCTGTTCTTGGTTTGAAAGGCTGAAGTCCTCAGTGTGGCTGGGACCCTGAGTCTGGACCTCTTTCAGCTGCCTCCTGGGAGTGCTGGGGCTGACTGCAGCAGCACTAGCTTAGTGCCTACTTCAGATATAAACGTTGGAAAAACACAGAACACACAGTTCAAGGCACTCATGGGGCAGTTTCTGCAATGAAATGGATTTATGTTGAAAACAGTAGTTGTCAAACACCGCTCACTACCTCTTAGACCTCAGGAAGATGATTGCAATGTGGGAGACAGGAGGCAGAGGCCGAGGCAGGGGCTGAGGCGGTGAGGCAGAGATGGATACAGAGAATCAGCTTTGCTTATTTTAACGCCCTGAAATAAATAGGTTGAGGCAATATCTTTACTAAATGTTGCTTTCCCAGTTTCTTAAACCAACAGGTAAAATTATGGTATTCCTTGTGTAGGATTCAATATCTGAAGTATAAATACATTGATAATGAAAATGTTCCAAGAAATTACAGCTTTGGGATCCCAGAGAAATATGTCACAACCAAGAGGAGAGGTTTCGCAAATAATTTACAGGTAACACATGGAAATTGATGGATGATATAGGGAAAGCCATATGGATAAGTGCGATGTTCAATTACATGGTTTAGTATAACCTTGGCTACACATTTATCAGTAATGTTAATATTAATATGCATAGAAGACTTTGAAAAACAATGAAGTTAAGCTTTCAACACTCTTCTAATTTTTCTTTTAAAAATAATTTCAATTTGGAGCTAAATAATGGTTATAGTAGTTCTCTTATTAAATGTTTGAATTAGAATTGATTCTAACGGTTTCCAATTAACTTTTAATCCATTTTTTAAAATATTAAAGCCATTTGGCCAGAGTAATCTCCCTTCATTCACTGAATATTAACTATGATTTTTGGCAGTTTTTGCAGTACAATCACAAAAAACAAAACAAACAGAAGAAAAAAACCTAAAACACAGAGTCGTGTCCCCAGAAGTTGGTTCATGAAACGTGTCTGAGCAGCCGACACTGCATTAGGCCCTGGGTACACAGAATCTGCTCACACACTGGTGGGGCAGTCAGGCATGCCATACTTTTAATACAACTCTTCATGTAAGAAAGTTATAGAAAAGGCACAGCAGAGTGCAAGGAAGGTGTCGAGTCTTGTGTGCCACAGCCTGGGGAAGCCAGGCTGGGCTAAGAGCTGGGGGGAGACTGGGAGAGCCAGACCGAGCACAGGGCTGGGTGTCTGGACAAAGCACACCGTCCAGAGGAACGGGTTTCATGGACCAAGGCACAGAAGAGATGGGTGCACGTATGCAGTGGACTTTATTCACTTTAGGCTGGTGGAGCTCAGATTTCTAAGAGAACATTTTGGGCCTGGCTGGTGAGATCAGGTTGGGCCTGCACAGAGAGGCAAGCCGGACCTTCTAGAGGTCAAAATGCACAAAACTCAATGCTCTGCAGAGTAAATATAAGTAAAATATTAGCTCTAAGAAGCTCTAGCCCTTTTCCCTGGAGTAAGAGGCAACATCCCAGAGCTATATTTTGAGTAGATTGCTTGGGGTGCGAGGAGATTTTAGGAGGATCTGTTTCAGGAAGGAGGGAGAAGGGTTGCTTAGGTGCTGGGAGGATGAGATGATGGCATCTGAGCTGGGCAGGAGTGGACCTGAGAAATCCGAAGGAGAAATTGTCAGCACATGGAGCTGCTGGGGGGCGGGGGAGAAAGGCTGAGTCCAGGCTGCTGGTGTGAGTGATTCTGTCAAGAGGATTGAAGACCCAAAGGTGAGGGAACCTGACGTGGGGTGCTGCGTCTGGCCAAGCCTGAGCTGAGGGACTTGGGAGTTGGAGCAGGATGCTGCTATCTGGAGGAGGCCTGCACTGGACACTGGCATTGCGATCATCTGCATGAAATGTGCAAGAGAGAAAGATCAGGCAGGAGACCATACAGAATGGGAGAAGTGCTGGGTGATGGAATCAGGGAGTCAGCAACAGAAAAGCACTGGGGGAAGAAGGAAGTAAACTCTATGGCTGAGACCACGTTAGCAAGAAAGGCAAAAGGAAGGACACTAGAACGTGAAGAATGAGGGGCTTGAAAGGGAAGGATGACTGGTCATAAAGTAAGGATTTTATAAAACGGGCAGAACATAAGCTACGGGACTTGAGAATGAAAATCATGTGCCCTCAGCAGGCCCGAGTCTGAGGAGTGGTGGGAGTTTACACCAGGAGGAAGTCACACAGGGAGGGAGGAGAGAACCCGCGGAGGCAGGTCAAGGCCCGCTGTGCTGGCCCCCGCTAAGAGCTTTGACTTTCTCGCGTGGACTGTGTGGCGACACCAGGGACTTCTGGTGTCAGCCGATGAGCCCTGCAAAATGGTTTGAAATGAGTAGGTTTGGGGAGCCAAAAGACTACTTAGCAGGAGCAAGGAAACTTGGCAGTTCTGCCTGGTTTCTGACACGGCTTCATCACACACCACAGAAAGAAGGAAACACTACATTGAGGCTGAGGATCATCCAACAACCCAAGAGTGGCCCTGTCTGATTCCGATCTCCAAAACAGGAAACAAGCATTTTTCTAAATCGTGATTCCTCACAAGACCCTTTGAGACCTGACTTTAGAACACTGTAACTGGAGATTCGTACAATCTCAAAACACAAAAAGCTGGTGTGAAAGCTGTTTCCCACACAATGCATGTGACTAAGTTACCTCTGGAATTCTAGATTTTTTCCTTAAATGCCTGGTTTTGCTTGTTATGTTTGCCTTCCTGATGCTCTTTAGGCCTCACAGCCCTCCTTGCATTTGCTATAATTCTCTACTTTCTTTCCTAAGATCGCAGAGCAAACAAGGTGCTCAGAACTGGATTCAGTTCAAGTGAGTTCTGAGCCATCTCTCCCAACCACTAGAGACGCTCCTCTCAATTTTCCTTATGGGTGCCAGGGGATATTCGGATGCATGTAATGTTTCAATCAGGTCGAGCATATCTATCTTCTCAAGTGTTTATCATTTTTTATGACAAAAACTTTCAAAGTTCTTTCTTCCACATTTTCAAATTACCATACAGTTCTCATGACTTAAGGTCATCTCACTGTGCAGCAGCAACAGGACCCCTCATCCTCTCAACTGCGATTAGTGCCAACTGACCCGCCTTTCTCCACACCCTGCCTCTTCCCACCCTCTGCTGACCACTGTTCTCCTCTAACTTCCATGAAATCAGCATTTTCAGATTCCATACACAACTGAGGACACATGGCACTTGATTATCTATGCACTTGATTATCTATGCCTGACTTATTTCATTTAACATACAGACATACAGTTCCACCTACCAATGTCACAAATAACAAAATTTCATTGTTTCATGGCTGCATAATATCCCATGATATCTAGGTATCACATTTCCCTCATTCATCTGTCCATTGTTGGACACTTCGGTCATTTCCATTTCGTGGCCATCGTGAGAAGAGCTGCAACAAACACAGGAGTCCACTAACACAGTGATTTCGTTCCCTTTTCACATTTACCCAAGCTTGGGACTGCTGGGTCATACAGGAGCTCATTTTT